CGGTGCCCTTCGGGCCGGCGGCTCTGCGCCGGTGCGGCCAGCGGGATTAACCCCGCCGTTAGCGGCCGGAACGGGTGGAAGCCTTCCGCCCCCTCTCGGGGGCTAGTGTTGCTTCTGGCTAAGTAAAGAAAGAAACGAAACCCATTATGGGATACACTGCTTAAATATGCAAGGCAAGAAAAGCACCCAACCCACAACGACCTGAGTCCAAGAATGTAGTGAGTTTATCATTCAACTAATCTGATTAATGGGGCACTTAAAATGTTTGCATATATATTGCATTCAAGAATATACTTGCTCAGATAAGCCAGCCAATAACATGTCACAACACCGTTTAACAAACACGCTCTTCAGATGCTTGTGGTCCTTAGGCGCCCATTCCAACCACAGACTCAGAGAACTCGACTTTACTACCTTGGGACTATTTCCTGAGGTCTCAGAACAGCCTGGTCTGTAACACAACAGTAACTCAGGATAATGAACATAACCCTTTCCATGGTACTGGCATGTCTACATTCCACCAACCACTGTTTTTCACCACGTCCCAAACTTAACTACACAAAATGGCCTTTTCTTATCACTCTGCTCCTACAGCAGAGCACAGCAGCAGCCGTGTGCTGCCAGAAAGCCACAGGGAGCTGCAAGTTCTGCAAGAAAGAGCCTATTGCATTCGTGTACCATGTTGCATTGCACATGACAGAATGGCATGGGCTCAGGGAATTGCAAAGAAAAGATTTTGAGTCTTTTCGCCCAAAATTGTGGTAGTTATGTTTTTATCTACGCATATTCTTTTAGAAATCAAATGGATTATAAAAAGCACTAAAGTCATAGCAGCAATAAAAAAAAATAACCTAAGCAAACCTCATAGCAGAAACAGCGTTACCAGACTGCCTGAAAGAGATGGGGAATTTGGAATTATTAAGAATTTGTGGTTCTTTTTTTTTCCTGGGAACTACATGAAACATTATCTCTGGTTTTTCTCCTTAATCAGCGTGGCTCGGTTGTCTGTCAACACCAAACATAATATGCTGAAGTGACTTTGTAATTTTTTTAAAATTCAATCAGCATTGGAATATATGTATCTGCCATGCTGACACAGCAATCTTTAGAAAAACATTATGAGCAAAAAAAAAGATTGGCAAATGTTGTCAACCATCATTATATAATTAAAACCCTAATTTCTGCAGGCTGTCAAGATTCCTTTCTTCTGAATTTTACCATAGTTGTTGACTGAGCTGACAATATTTGGCAATGGTAAAATGGCAGCTCCATTATTTTTGTTTCCATGGTAAACACACAAAATGAACTTTTTCTTAATGATACTTCTGCACATTATACCTCTAACAACCTGGCAGCTGGCCTATCACAATTCCAAGGTAGCCAGTATTGCTGAGGAGGAAAAAAACCCCACCTATCACAAAATGAAAATATTTATTTATTCTTTGCCCTGGGCACGAGTCCACGACAAGGCACCAGGTGAGAATAACAAGCACTTCATCTCAAAATTGATACTGATTTCATCTGTCCCTATTGTAAAAATGTTGCAAAAAAAATGCAGCAAAATCTCAGCCCACACATCTGGATTCCATCCAGGAATACCCTCCAATTTTAGAAAGCAGCAAAATCCTTTGAATGCATGCACATATCTAATAGACACGGAATTTAAAGAAATATGGTGTCATGAAAATAGTGGAATCGAACCTTCCCTACCCACACCTCCACAAAAGCTTGCTTTCCTTGCATTAAGTGGAGGTGCAGCAACAATTACTTTGTCTTTATTAGGATATCTTTCCCTTCATTGGTTCAGAAAAGTAGTGAAATTTTGGCAGGAAAGCTGAATGGAAATTTGACTTCTTTGGTTTTCTGCTTTTCCCTCTTGATAAAATCTTATTAAAATTGATCTATTATAGCTGAGTTTTTCCATGCACCTATTCACATGTCATTCCTATATTTTTCCTCTTAAAAAAAGAGACTAATAAACTCTCTAACACATATACACACACACTTCACAAAGCAACAGACACCAGTATTTAATCTTCAAGTTCCCAGGCTTTGAACAGTGTTCTTAAAAAATACATTCAGCCCTTCTCTTCCTGCCATCATAATTCAGTTTCATAGCAGTGAATGAGGAGAATCAGTCTGTAAATTGCTTGCACATCAGTTAATTAAATTTCCCTGGCATGCCTGTAAGTCAGAATGCACTGCATCAGTAGCTATGCTAAAACATGATCTACTATTATGAAACTTTCAATTCATGTACAGAATGACAAAGCTGTGCTTTATTTCAAGAGGTTTTTTTCTTCTTGTTGGATCATGCTTCTATAGATCAGCCTTAGACCAAGGGCATGGTTAGACAAATGGCTTCTGTTAAAGAATCTGTCTTTTCTATGAGGAAACAGGAGACCTCTAAGGCAACAAAGAAAGACAGTGGTGGGGTCTAGGCCCTATGTCTGTAAAAGCACATCCAGACTAAGACTTTCAACACCAAGCCAATAAGATCAGATGTAGATATAAAAAAAAATATACAGCTTGAACTTTTCACCTACATGCTGCTAAAGGCAAAGCCACACAGAAGCATACTGACATAGCTCTCCACTAGGCCAGGCAGAAGCTGTCTCTTGCTTGGAGGCTGTACAGTGACATGTACCCTTGTAGGGGTGTTCTCAACCTCATCCTGATTCCCAGAAAATAAACACATCAGTCAGCCTAGACACAGAATCTCAGATTTATCTTAGCTAAGATGACACTAGTAAAGTGCAGTAGTCACAAAAGAAGACAAAGGAAATACAGGTCTTTTGAAATGAGTTCATTCATGTAAGTTCACAGTGGGACACCAAGAAGAGATTGGTGCAATACCTTCCATCTGAACAAGAACAGGAAGAAAGAATTAGTAAGTCTTTTCAGTGGGTATACAGTTTCTTACAACAAATCTCTTTTGCAATAGCTTAACAAACAGTGAATCACAGAAAAGCCTATCATTTACAAGACAAAAGATAACCAAGGCATTTGGAAAGTGCAGATGAGGTCATTAGTCCTCCCACCGTCCTTCAGTCTTTAAATATCCTTGTGTCAGATGAGTGTAATTACTAAGTGTAAGCAAAATAGAATCTGTGGTCTATAGTTTGTCTCCTGTTTACTGCAGTGTTACAAATAAAGTATTTTGATTTTTTTAGTATTCTCATATTATGTAGGACACTGAAGACCAGTAAAAAAAAGGTATTTTTAATGACTATTCAAGCCACTAGAACAGTGATCAAGCTTCAGGCTCTGCAAGCAAAACCAGGTTCTTGAACATCCCAAATTACCCACAAAGATAGCACTGAAAAGGCAGTAATAGCACTTCTGTAAAATCAGGATATCAGAGGAAAATGGTCATTCTACAGTGATCCTGGTGTTAACCTGCAACTACTCTGTAGTTTCTATTAAAATCCATGTACTCAGTATGTTTCTAGGCTATTTCTCTTACAAGTTGTTGAGATAAAACTGGCATGTTTAATTTCTTACTATGGCCTTCAAGGGTAGCTATGCATCTTACAATCTATAGAAGTCATGAGTAAGGACAAGCCTGCTTGTGTTAATGCAAGTGGAATGCCCTACATTGTCTTTAAGACAAGTTTCTGTACTCAGTCAAATAACATATCACACCAGGGTGGTTTTATGTAGCTAGAAAATCTGATGTAAATACTTTTCAGGTAAGCATTGGAGGTGAACAATTTTAAGGTTTAAAACAACCTGTTGATTTAGCTGTTGCTCAGAAGTATTTGTCCAAGTTCTAAGGCAGAAAACTGGGCTTTCTCTAACAAATTTGGCATTCTCCAGTAGAACTACTTTTTATATTTAAAATCTGGGAGAAAAATTATATGACCTCTTTTGCTAAAGAACATCCATGTGATAAAACCAAAATAACCCTGGTATTAGTAGTGTAATGCCAATGTGGGTCATTTTAACAGAACTTGGCTAGGAATCAAATACACATGCCTGCAAGCCTCAGTTCCAACTCCTGGTGGCAAGGTTGTAATGAGTAGCTAGGCACGGTAAACTTCTAATCTAGCAGAGTTACAGCCACACTCTAACCACAGCCTTAGAGTTGAGCTCTTAATCCTCTTATTACACTGAGCTATTTGTCTGTGTAACTTTCTTCTGCTAGAGCAAAACACAAATGCATTGCTATCAAACTGAATTTCAACACCGCATTTCTGTATTTTGTGATATTATTTCTTCTTGGTCTTTCTACATCAACCTAGGAAGGACCACAAACTATGTATATTTTCAATGCATGGTTTCTGTTTAATTCTTGGTGAACTTCCTTTTTAAAAGGTTAAGCTCATCTTTCATGGGCACATGAAGAATTTTCATGTTGATATCTACCATTTTTACCTAACTTGATCGCAACAGCTTGAAAGAAAAGCAATATAACAAAGTATCCAAAGCACAATCATTGAGTATCTGAAATGAACAACTCTAAATAATAACTTAACTTAATAAAGGTGAACATCATGGAGAAATCCAACAGAAAAGACATTCTACTTACTCAGCAAGGTACATTTCAAGTTCACAGCATCTCTTCTGCAAGTCCTGTTTCCAAGAAAATATGGGTTTATGTGCCTTTAACAGGAATGTGGAAGACTTCCAGCCTAATACATAACTAAATCATGAACAGCCTTTCTTCCTAGAACCAAATTATACTTCAGAACCCTTCCTCGTGACTGGTTTAGTCACCAACATAGGATTAAAAGTTTGCAAAGATACTGTTTAGATTTTGCCTGAATGTTTGGTTTGTTAGATAAAGCCTGTCAAATTGTAATTGGTTTGAAGAATGTTGATAAGCTTTTTTTTTGTCCAAGTTAAAAAAAAAAAACAACAAAATGTGAATATCATCTTCTGTTAGTAATGTGTTTAAGTGTACTTTCTTTCAAGTGTTTTTCCCCACACCCATTTTGGTCACATCCCCTGTAATTTTTTTCCACTGTATAAACTGTCAAACCAACTTAAGTGTGGAACATACTTAAAATTATTGTGTAGGGGGTAAAACCCAAGAGCTTTTTGGTTATTTAATTTTTCTAAATTAATAACAAGAAAAACTTTAATGCATTTTGTATCCTGTTCTTGATGTAACTAAATTTGTATTTGGGTGATAAGTGGGTGACAGTGGGACAGCATGATGTGTGATATGAAATAGTGTGCTGATTATGTTGAGAACTTTCAAGGTTGCCATTTGGTGTGCTGCACTACCAAGCTGGCATTTTAACAGGGATTGTTCATTTCTATCTTGCAGGTTAAGCTTGAAACACAGGCTTTTAGAAGGGAAAGGAGTTTGCTTAGGTAAAGGGCAGTGGTAAGGTTAATTCCATTTCAAACCACAACTATCCATTAAATGATCCATGTCATTGTGCATTCCTGTGGTTTCACCATTATGATCCAAGAACAATTCACAGAAAAAAAGGTAGCACCCTGAGATAATTTGGCAAGTGCTTTTTTGCCTATGTCAGCTATTGTTCCAATAACAGACAACCTGAAGAGGCTCTGGTTAGCTGAAATTGAAAAAACTCTGGAGAAGAACAGGTATGGAAAACCTGATTAATTCACAGCTTCTCATGTGTAGCAAGAGATAGACTACTGCCTGAAAAGGTTTATGGGATAGGAATGAAAGTCACTTCACCTGGGAGATGACAGGTGAAAAAAGATGACTAAAGACCTACCAAGCCAGATGAGCAACGCCCTAGATGCTCAACAGGGAGACCACTGAAATTCACAAAGAACTCTGAATTGTAGCCATTTGACTCACATGGAAACCATCAGAGTTGTGTTCTTGTGGAACCAGGGGAAGCCCTAGGTAAGCACATTACAGATGACTCAGAGGAGTTGGCTCTGAACTGAAGCCAACTTCTAAATGACAGAAATGCTAAAGACAACCCTATCATCAAATGCCACAGGTTGAGCTTTGGATGAAATAAAGAATAAACAGGAAAAAATATGTTTCCAATTTAATTAAGATGGTATTCAGGCTTACCTTAATTAGTTCATTTTTAGTAATTTCCTTTAACTATTGCTATTAAGCCATTCAGCTAATTAAGAACCACAGAACATCACAGATCTAAATGACTGCCTAACAGCTGCAAGCAGTTCATTAGGTACCTACAATCAAGCTTTTCTCCCACAGGAAGAAGGTATCAGTAACTACCCTTCCATTAATCCAGGGCTCTTTTTCTCTCTCAGAACAGTAGCAAATTACATACTAAAATTCACTGAGAGCTTACCCTTCCTAGGACAGCATCTCCTCTATATGCATCAGAGAAAGCACATATATACACAAAGAAGCCAAACATAGCTTTTTCTCAGAAATGCTGATTTTGTTAAATATTAGCAAAGCTCTATGGCATCTTTATGCCATTACTAAACAAATCAGTGTCTTGAATCAAGAAACACGTGGCTACTATTGTGACATCCTAATCACTATGTCCTTACTGCTACTAGGCAGGTCATCTCTTAGGGAAAGTGATAATGTCCCTTTGAACGTATTTTTGGTCTTATCTGATCATCTGCCTTAAGCACCCTGTGATTCTTTTATGCTACACCCTGCAATTATTTTCTGGTATTCTCTACCTGCATTTCTATTCCCAAATTTCATAATATATTAATCATTACTTCATGTCACTGTATAAATAGAGCGCCCAACCAAAATTAATGACTCATGGGATACTTTTTGATACCCCAAGTAAACATGGATTGTTTGAAATTTTAGTAACTATTAAAACAAATACATGCAGCTCAAAAAAAATGAACAGTTTTTTAAAGAAGACCTAAGTTGTTAGGCTTCAGAATTCAGAGCTAATGAAAGCTTGTAGAGACCATCTTCCCATTAGTCAGAAAATTCATGAACATAAGCAGGGCTTCATAACTATAAAGATAAGTTGAAACAAACTCCTTAACACAAGTTGAATTGATAAAGAAGAGAAAGAAGAACAACCAAAGTCTAGTACTTTACTTAAAAAAAGGCTTTTAATATAAATCTGAATACAAAAATAACCAAAACATCCTACAGCAATCACAAACAAATCCCCAAGGTTTTCTCTTATCAGTTCCCTGACAGTTTGGCAAGCGCTTGTTTTCTCTGTTCCGCAGTCATATACTCACAGGCTTCCAAAATATTTACTATAATTAAAGTCTGTTGAACTGTTTTTGCTTTTACCCATATTCTTCCATTCATTCCCAGCACCAGCTCAAATGGGTACAACTGTGACAACTCTTGAATTATTTCACATTTGGGAGCCAAAAGCCTGTGAACAAGACAAAAAAAAAAAAGTCAGAGGAAGAAGTGCTCACACTTACAGACACCACATTATTATTGACCAGTAACTCCAGCAGTACTGTTATTATAGGAGCTATTTAAGAAACACTTAAAAGCTGTATATACATCCAAAATAGCAATACAGTATCAGATTTTCAAGGTTTCTATCATACAAAATACATGCACCTAAAAAATAAAACCATTGTAAATTTAGGTTTTTTCTCACTAGATTCAGAAGCAATCCCTAGCAAGTTTTAAGTGAGTTGATACTTTTACAACAATTCTATGATCTAATAAATTCTAAAAGTACATTGTTCAACAAAATGACATTTTTTAAGTGCTATTTATAAATTTGATGCCCCAGAGATGTCTTTCAAAACAGGACTACCCTTCTACTTCAGAAAACAATATTAACAGCAATAAACAGACTACTTCATTTTTATTAGATGACAGCATACTAAATACTATAATATGTCTAGGATTAAATCAAGCTTGAACAAGTATTCACAAAAACTAAAAGCATATCAGGATTTAGCAGTCTACTTGTAATATGCTGTTACTCCTTAACTTTCATTCAGACAAAATTTGGAAAACAGAATGGCTGCGAAAAGTTTTTGTATCAACTCACACTGATTTCTGACGGGACATATAAATCAGACAATTACAGGTAGGGAAAAGCTGCTCTGCATTGCCTGATTGCTTATCCAAAGAACAACAAACAAAAAAACTCCACCCAAAAAGCAACAACAAAGTTTGACTGCTGTTTATCCATCTAATCTGGTATTCTTTGACAGTCATAAAAAAGTCTTACATTTACATCAGCATAAGCAACTCTCAAATTCATAACACATTTAAAATCTTAGGAAACAGTTCCTGGATTAATGTGTCAGTTTTAAACTAAAATCCTACATTTATTTTCATCTGTATCCTTATTTCAATGCTATTTATTTTTTTGACTTCCCCAGGTCACTACTTCTGTTTCCTATACTGCCTTGGCAACCACATCACTTTTTTTTAAACAAGTCATGCAACACTATACAAATGACCTTCTAAGCCTCTTAAGAGGAAAAGTAAACTTTCCTTCTAGATCAATCCATATTCTATTCAGTAAAACTGGTTTAAATGCACTACAAGAATTATACAGTCTGATTTACCAAACTGTCCACACTGCTCAGAAGAAACAGGTGTGGGAATCTTACACGTGAGAGCGACCACTGATGTTTTTTAGTACTTACTTTCTTATTAGACCTAAGGAGACTTTAAAGAGGAAGCCGTCTTGTCCAATTATTCCCATTCCACTTGATTTTCCACTGCTGTCTATACAAACCATCTCTGGCTCCATGTCTTTATTTGCTACAACAAACTGACCGTAAATAAGATCTCCCACCTAAACAAAACAGCATCAAAAAACAAAAGTATAACCTCTTATAATCATTTAGCAGGACATCAATAACAAATACCACACTGGTCTATTTTGTTTTTCTTTACAGCTCCTTTTCCATTCTGGTAAAGGCATTTCATCCAAGAGCAGAAACTGTGGCACGCATGTGCAACACTATCATTCATAATAGTGCTGTTCAAGAACTTGCTCACACAAGTTGCTCACACAACTAACATTTTCTACCATCGCATCTTTTAAAACCTTAACATCGGAGTGTGCTTTCGGATGCACCTTACTTGTGAACTGCACTGCTCCTGGCAGCACTATGAGCAAACGAAAGCATGAGAGTGAAGCACCCAGCCACCTGAGAGAGGGCACACCACGCCAGTTTGTCCTCCCAAGAAACCCCAGAAAGGCCGCGGCCTAATGGTGCAAAACCCTCCGAAGAGGACCAAGGCGAAACCATTACAACTAGACCCGCACACCTCCTGTAACGTGGGCTTGTGGAAACACTTCCCCACAGAAAAGCGACTGGAACGCAACAGAAGCGCCACCAAACGAGGCGGCTGGAGCGCTACCGCCAGCTACCCAGGGCACCCACCTGCACGTTCGGCCTGTTCCTCTTCGTGGCGCCTTCGAAGGCCAGGTAGGACAGGGACGCCGGCTCGCTGCCGCCCACGTCCAGTCTGAACACGTCCCCCGCTTTGACCGTCACGATCCCTATGACGTGGTCGCCCTTCACCGGCACGTACTACAGCGGGGGAGGGGGACAGAGGGTCAGGGGAGATAGGCGAGACCGGGGCTAACACACACACACGGACACCCGGCTCCCACCGCGCCCCTACCCGCTTCTGCTGCGAGTCCACCCAGTAG